TAATACTAGAGTCATTCTCTACAAGTCAACCTTGTTTCATTCTCCATTCTTACATTAACATTAATTTGAAAAGAATACGAGCTGAGTTTCTTGTCAGTTCTTCTCATCTCGAAATCATTCCGAACTGACGGTAGATTTGACATATCATAAGAGTCTGTAATAGACCTACATGAATATAGATAGTGATTCCCTAACTCAACAAGTTCAAATTCAAATTCAAAATATTTTTATTCATGTAGGTCTATTACGGACTCTTATGATATGCCAAATCTACCATCTAGGGAAGTGATTCCCTAACTCATCAAGCCGTTTTCAGAATACCTCAACGTCAATTATTCTATTCTGTTACCAGTTATTATTAATGTTTCACGTTTCTAAATGATAATTTATTATATTTTATACAGTTATCATATTATTATGTTATATTTATAACGCCTATCACGAAACAATTATAAACAAAGTCAAGAAGACATGCCAAATAGCCGTGGTTATCGAAATATAATTGGAAATCGACAAAACAGGAGGAATCTAGATTTTTTTTTCCTAATTCATCCAAAGGAAAGAAATATCTGACGGGTTGGAAATGATGGAGTTTAAAACGTTCTACCTGAGTAAAATTTAAACCATCTTTTTAGTTTAGGATTCTAGTCCTTTTTTGAAACGTCAGAGGCCAGAGCCGAAATAATTTTGATAGGTATTTAAAAAAAAAATGTCCTTATTAAAAAATTTGGTCAAATTAATATTTAACAGAGGTTTAAAATTAAATTAAAAAAAGAATACGTAATGTTTTTATGACAGACTATTTTTTTAAATGCCCACCAAGATTATTTGGGCTCTGACCTCTGACGTTCAATTTCAGGTTACTCTGAATGCCTTAGATAGAGAAACTGAATCAACGATGTGTATTATTATTATTCAACCACTTTAACATTCCCATGTCATTAAGGTAAAGATAAAGATAAAGATTACTTGTGATTGCGATCGGTTGTGGGGAAGAGTATTGTTAGTAATGTGGACCAACTAGCAATGGGGTTACCATTGCTAGCAATGTATCATGTCAGGTTCACCTCCATGAGAATCCCCCTGGAAACCATCATCATAAATTAAATAAGTGTATATAATTTTAATTATATACACTTATTACTTATAATTTTCCTACTCTATTTTTGTAAATATTCTCTTTCTAAAGGTTATCTGTAAGATATTACATCAGCGATAAGTTACCTTTGTACTTAGTTTTATTTTCTAATGTTCTAATTTTGCTAATGTTCTTTCTTTGTTAAAGGGGGTCTTCCTATGTGACGGCCTGTTTTTTAGGGATATTTTAGGATTTTTTTTCTACGACCAGTAAATATTTAGAGCTTCAAGTTTTTTATCATTTATTAACACATATTTGGACAGTATAAATATAAAATTTCAGCTAAAAATATTCAGTCAAACTAGAGTTACAGCGCTCTGAACACCCCCGCCTCGAATAAAAGAGCTCCCACTTCCTCCACGATTCCGGCTGATCGGCTTATCTGAAAAAAAAAAAAACGGCGTTTTAATTTGTAGGCTTAAAAGCACGGAATGACCTATAATCAAATGAATATAAAAAAAATTGGATTTTTGATAGACATTTGAAATAAAAGTTGCAAATTAGGCGTTTTTTTTTTTGTTTTTTGCTATAAAAAAATCGAAGTTTTGAAAATTTTCGATTGATAATAGTTCATTCCATGCGTTTACATATATTGAGTGTGCCCTGTAAATTTCAAGTAATTCGGTCCAGCCGTTTCTGAGATACAATGGAGGAAAGTTTGAAAAACACAGTTTTGAGAAAAACGCGTTTAAAGTTTCAAGTCCGTTAAAAACTATTAAAATATCAACTTACTCTCAATCGGCGATGCCTGGTCCATAGAGTATTCCTTCCTCTTCCTCGTGAAACTCTTTTAAAGCAGATTGTTCAGCTCTTGAGTCAATCCTGGCTTGTTTAACGACATCACTTACGCGCCGCTCAGAGCGTAAGATTCGCTTTTCATCCCGTTTCTCAACATACGCTTGGGCTTCACGACCAACAGGGCATCCCATAATCGACATAACTTTTAAAATACCTTGAAAACCTTCATTAAAGATAATAACTGCTAAGTAGCTAGCAATTTCAACAACTTTGGGACCAGAATGAAGATGTTTAGGAGCGAAAGTCCAAATCAAAGAATTCAAAGATTCGTTATTGTTTTGTGTCTCTGCTCCTAAACAACGAATTAATAATTCGTCTTTCGATAAATCTTCGAAAACCGGTTTGATAGCTTCTTGGACTTGCGGAATTAGAGGTGGTTTATCGTGATGAAATTGTCCAGTTCATTATTAGCTTCAGCCTTACGCCATTTACACCAACTGTCTTCGCCTTCTGGACAAAATTGATGCTGAGGGTTTTCATCAGAAGAACATTTGTGATAGTACGTTGCCCAAACTTCCTTTCTCATATCTTCAAGCGAATCTGGATGGCGTCGAATTGCTAATCCGTAGAATTTTGTAATTTCTTGGATAACTTTCTTGGATAGACTAAAATAACTTCGGTAAAATATTATAACAATAGAAATTTCTGTTTAAGTCTGTAGAAACGTGTCTAAACTTGTATAAACAAATATATTAATAAAAGGGAGGCCAGGTATAAAGCCGACGGTACACAATAGGCCCGGTCTCTAACTGCCAACTCACCGCTCCGAACCGCTCTTTCTTTTACCTGCTGTATCTTTAAAACGACTTCGAATTTTCTAAAATCGCTTTACTACCGTATTCTAGACATGTTAAGGGAGCAATTTATGAAAAAAAAATCGATTTTTTCAACCCATCACATAGGAAGACCCCCTTAATACAATAAAGTGTTATAAATAAATCATTACATAGTATAAAATAAAGTCGCTGTCGCTACCTGTACCTATGTATGCTTACGCTTTAAATCTACGCAACGGATTTTGAAGCGGTTTTTTTAAATAGATAGAGCGCTTCTAGAGGAAGGTTTATATATATAATACATGTACACCCGTGTGAAGTCGGGGCGAGTAGCTAGTAAAATATAAATAAATTCCAGGTGAATTTACCACGATAGGCTAAATGACTTGACCTTATGCTCATCTTATCATCCTCCACTGGTGCCCCGCCAGTATAAACCGTCAGCGCAGGAGGGTTGCAGCATTCCATTATCATCCATAAAAAAATAGGGAACTGTTACATCTGCTAAGTATTTAAAAGCTGATTCATCCTTTTCGGCTGATTCATTCATCTTGAATATCGTTTTAAGATAACATACACCAGAGAAGGATGTTGCATATCTGTCGAGCCGCTATCACACTACTATCATTGTGTTTAATTATCTATGTATCTTAAGATATGATGTACGTGCAGCCACAGTATTTGAATACTGCGGCATCAATAACGCAGATTAACGTGAATCATTCATCATCATCATCATCATCATCATCATCATCATCATCAACATCAATTGTTAATGAAAAATACCGTTCGTAAATTCTCTATGAAAACTTTCATTATTTAGTAATAAGTATATGTATTTATGTAACTTAAATAAATTAACTTGTATTGTGGAACAAAAATTAAATAACATGTATATATAGTGGATTTAGAACCCTGCAACGTTGTCTATCACCCATGAGTGGTTCTTCCACCCTTCTTGGGAAAATTATTTCTATTTATTATGGATCTTTTCTGTAACTTCTGGAAAAAATTTTTCAAAGACGCGGAAGTTTTTAATAACTAAAAAAGCACGCGATGTATATCTCGAGGTACGGTATCGCGTTAGCATTTTATCACCATTCTGGCGAAATTATTGTTGACTATTTAATTAATGAATTCATTGGACGAGCTTACAAAAATCTTTTTTTAATCTTGGAATTACTTTTTAGGAATAGAATTAAAGACAAAATACATCAAATATTAAACTTAAACTAGGTTTAAGACAATTAAAATAGTTTATAAGTCGATCGATCTTTTTAGAATAATGGAGTTAATTATATAATTTAAATTACAGTAGAAAAATAAAATTTAACTAATTTAATTCAACTTAATCGAGTATGTGCTTAACTTCAACTTACAGTAAAACATTTATTTTATAGTAAAAACTTATGAAATTCTGACAAAATTGACTCTAATTCACTCTAATATACAGAAATACTTAATAATGATGAAATGTCATCAAATAAACTTAATTTAAGCACTTTTGAATAGTCATAACAATTTTTTTTATCTACCTCTCGTTCGGAAAGCTGAAGAAGAACGAGTAAGAAACTTGTGTGTTGCTCTTTTAATAATCCTTGTAAGTTTACATTTACAAGTCGAAACGTGTGAATACAAACTACCAACCAGTAATATAATAAACACTAATGGTATATAATTACATACTGATGAGTACTAGAACATCATAATTAATGTAGAGGTATTAAATACATGAATGTTTGTAAAAGCCAAGACTTTAGAAACGGAACTAGGTGTAACCTTTACGATAGATCGTTTAGAAAAAGTAAATAGGTCTTTTATGGGAATAGGTATAAAAATTTACAATAAGATACCAAAGAATATATTGGAATTATACTTAAATAAATTCAAAAACATCTGTTAAATCATATTTACTGAGCAAAGCTACTCACTAAACGATTACTTAAATGACAATAGTTGTTCATACACTTGATTTTAATTTAATGTTAGACATAGACACCTATATAAATATACATAGTAAATAAACTGGCTTATAAAAAAAAATTTTATTGAGTTTCTTGCCAGTTCTTTTCAATTGGATCTATATACCGAATTGAACGGTAGTGAAAAAATTAAATTATAATGTAAAAAACTTGACGTTCATATGCGACTAAAATGTCCTACATGAATAAATGATTATTGAATTTTGAAAAAGATAATTTAACAGTATATAAATCCATTTTAGTTTTTATATAAGTTCGTATAATTCCCAAATCCAAAGCACCAACAAAGATTCTCAAGAAACTCACCTTCCACTGGGAATATGATCTTCTGTTCTGTCCGTCCATAATAATCATCGAACTCCGGCGGTTTGTCCGTCCGTTCGTTCAGCGTCTGCCCCTGAGCCACCGGCATCGGCAGACTGTTCACAGGAAGCCCGACTATCGGCTTCTTGCTCAGCCGTAACTTCTTCAGGATTTGCTGTTTCACGAACGCCAGCCTGGCCTGATTCAGCTCAGCTACCGTCAGGTCTGCACTCGCACAGTTTGCGCATGTACCCATCATCTCACACTGAAGACTTAAAATACTAATGACTAGAAATACTATTAAAGCCACTCGCGACATTTTCGGCGGTAGATTCCTACGACGCAAGCAGTTAAAATAATATAGTAGATCGAGACGCATGCGTACGGTTTAGGCGACGGACCGCGCACGACTATCCGCGTGGGAGAATAGGAGCTACTAATATAGGGAGATTGTCGGCAAGACGGGGTCACGCATCGGGGCGGCAGGTAAGGGATGAGCAAAGCTCAGCTACAGGTTTATGTGAAATTATTGGTATTTGGGAGATTTTGAACAGATTTTTTTAAATTTCGAATTACTATTTTTTATTCTCTTAGCGATAAATATAAACTTTAAAGTAGTGTATATATTATTTAATATTATTGCGTATGTATATATAGTGTCTCTTAAAATTAAATTAAATTTCCTTTACAAAGAAACTGGTTTTTTTTTAATTAAGGAAATATTTTATTTAAATATTACTTTACTGTAAAATCTTAATAATATTAATAATACGAAAGTTTGTGAGTATGAATGTTTGTTACTCTTTCACGCAAAAACAGATAGCAAGTAATATAGCTTATATATCAGAATAGGCTATAAATTTCACTGTATGTTATTATACTGTACTTGGAGCATTGTTTTATTAATTAATAAAACAATGCACCAAGGTGTGCGTTTATTTAATTTGGAATAAAATTTTCATTTCCATTTTAATTAAACCTCTGGTCTAAAACTATTTTAGAGCACAATAAATTGCATTTGTGTAAATATAATTAAAATAGAAATAATATTTATTCAATTAAACTTAATGTAAGCACTTTTAAATAGTCAGAGTTTTTTATTAAACCACTTATTCGGAGCACAACAAGAAAGATCTTTTAAAGATTTTAAGTATTAATTGAAAAAAATTGTTAAAAATGCCTTCATCTACCGACTAGCTACATCTTCTATGTAATATACGCTTTATTTAGCTTAAAAAAAATACAGACCCTACATAAACTGCACCTGTGTAAAGTCGGTTAGTAATATTAATTCTAATCATGTTTAAAGTCCAATATGTGAACTTTATAACGGTTTTGTGAGTTATATCTAAAAATATACCGTTTTCCCGATCATGATATCCTTACAGTTATTGCATCATTTATCAGTCTATAGACACGATTGGGTACCTATCTAAACTAATAATGATGCAAGGTGTTACAGTTGGATCCAGTGGATTTTTTTTTATTTTTTAATTTGACCATAATTTTGCGGCTTTGGCACATGCATATATCATGTGATATTTTATTTTTTTCTACCATAATTTGTGTCTGTACATGATATTTCACTGTCAGATTATTATTAGATATGTATTTATGTACAGTTTATATATAGCTATTTATTCAGATATATTTGTATTTACATTTGCATCGCCAGCAGAGAATAACTTTCTCTGCACGACTCATGGTTGACTGGTAGATACAAACACGAGACGAAAAATTTCGTAATAAATTGTATAATTTTATAATATTTATATGTATATTTTTTTTTATATTATTACTAAATTTGAGCGCGTTTGAGCGCAAAGTGATGATGCGATGATGATCAAAGCTGTTACGTCACACATCACTATTTGCGTTTGCAATAGCACATGCTGTCTGTCTGTCATGATGAGCGTCTATCTGTATTTTCCCAAATTTGTACTTAAAAAGGAATTTGTATTATTTTAAACATGTACAACATTTATTTGAAAAGAATACTAGCTGAGTTTATTGTCAGTTCTTCTCATCTCGAAATCATTCCGAACTGACGGTTGATTTGATCATATCATTAGAGTTTGTAATAGACCTACGTGAATAAAGATATTTTGATTTGATTTGATTTATTACTAGCTGTCCCTGCAACTTCGTCCGCGTGGAATTTAACTTTCATTTTCTAAAATAAAAGTAGCCTAAGTTACTCCTTATTACATCAGCTACCTGCCAATAAAAGTCCCGTCATAATCGGTCCAGCCATTTCAGGGATTACCCGGAACAATCAGACAGACAGACTGACAAATATTATAAAACATGTTATTGTGGTGTATGTACCGTATTTATATTCATATGTATGTAGTAAAAAACGGTTATTTCAATATTACAAACAGACACTCCAATTTTATTTATATGTATACATTAAATTTAAGCTCGTTTGACCGCATCTCTTACCTGATGTTAAGTGATGATGCACGCAAGCTCAAATAGTGGCTATTTGTCTGTCTTTGTGTGTCTGAAAAAAATTATATTGTGATATATTTCCCTAATTACTATCTAATTCTACTACGAGCGGCTTAACAAGGTGTGTTTTGGTTTGAAATTACAGAGTACTGAAGCATATGTTAGTGCCACTGTCGTTACAGTGTAGTTTGTGGTGACTCTGATGTAAAAAAAAAAACAATCAATAATTCTACCAAACATAATTATCAAGGAAGCATCTTTCCTTGTTACATATCATTTGGAGTCTGTATAATATGTTTTTAAATACATGTTACGAAAAAGGTTTCGGTTTTGTGGCCGGTCGTCTGACTGACGACAATTCTTGTGAAAAAATATCCCATTTCTAGAAATATCAAAACGTAAAAAAACGTTAACTGTGGTATAGTAGGTCGATAAAGTGAATTCTCATGTAAAACAAAATCAGTAAAATATCTCTTTATTTCTATCCTTACCGTCCAGTTCTTTTCACGAAGAGTTGCTCATTTTATAATCAACTAGCTACTTGCCCCGGCTTTGGACGGGTGTACATGTACTATATATAAAAACCTTCCTCTAGAATCACTCTATCTATTAAAAACCCGCTTCAAAATCCGTTGCGTAGTTTTAAACATTTAAGCATACATAGGGACGGACAGACAGCGACAGCGACTTTGTCTTATACTATGTAATGATTAATAATAATGCAATAAATAATCCACAACTCACTCAGCGCCATCCAGTTACTAATATAAACTATAGAAATACTTAAAAGCATTTTTTCAATACGTAAAATGTACAAGAAATTTTAAATTTTCTCATTAAAATTTAAATTTCCTTATTAAAATTTTCTCATAAATTTTATATATCGAAAATAGTTGCTTTTTAAATGTATAGAAAAATGTTTGCGATCGCAAATAGCCCTTTATTTTATTTAAAAATAAAATTATAAAAATTCAAATTTGGAACGTCAGGCACAGAACATCGATGTTATTTAAATACATATCTTTTTTTTTTTGAATGTATATTATTTATAATTAACTTCATTAATATTTATATACATATTATTATATAACTAGTATTTACATAACCTAATTGTACAACTTAGACCTAAAATAAAAAGCTTAAAAAAAAAATATAATACGATGACTAAAATATATTATTAAAAGGGGTCCCTTTAGGCAACGTTCCGAAGATACTGGCAGCGTTCCCTCTTTGAATAGCTAGACTAATTCTTTGTCCGAGGTAGCTGCCAGCTCTTCGGTCTTCTGTGATGTTATTTTATATACATTTTGCTCTTCTTCTCGAACATTCCGTGGCGTCATTATTAAAATCTGTGTACAATATATTCTAAATATTTTTTTATTTCTATTAAAACGAATTAAACATTGCAATATTCCTCCAGCAAACAAATAAAATCTTTCGTATGGTAATTTCGATATTAAAGTAGCTTCAAAAGTACATAATAACAATTTTGTTATCAAATGGTACTTAGAGGCATTTTTATTGTACCTATTTCGATCTAAAAAACAAATAATTAATGTATTTTTTCCTTGATTTCTGTAATAATAACAATGCAATAAAAAAAGTAAATAACCTGTTTATTAAAAAGTTCAAAAGTGACACTAATTATTTATTTTCTAATACCTTTTGCCTGTGACTGTTCTCGGCTAGTTAAATTTTATAGTGCTAATGAGACAGTCTTCTGTTTGTACCTCTATCTGTAGTCATACGAGTATGTATGTTTTTCGAAGTTTTACTCGAAACCCTCTGTCAGGTGTATATACGGACTCCTCACCTATTACGATTTTATAATAGTAGATGTTGTCAAAATACTGATTGACATTATTGTAAATATATTATAAAAGGAGACAATAGAATTATTCTGCTGCAAACGTACATATTATTTATTATTTAACATATCATCTCACCATCTCAACACAAAAGAACCCCACCACAATACCCTCGGTACTCCAAACCCTCGGAAGGACCTAAAGGCTTCGCCTTTTGAAATATTTAGAGACGACTTTAGCGTGGGTATCTGCAGCGCTAAGGTTTCGAAAATCAGCCCCGTCCATTCCGATTTACAATCCCATCTAATTTGATTTCTTTTAAAATGGGAGATTCAGATCCGATTGAAATTTGAATAAACCTATCCTATCCTCGATTATGCTCCTATCCTCGATTATGCCGATACCTGCTACCTAGATCTCACCGAAGTCCAATTAAATAAACTTGAGCGCCTTCAAAATATTTGTATTAGGTTTATATTTGGACTACGCAAATATGACCATGTCTCTCAGTTTCGTTCACAGCTCAAGTGGCTCCCTATACGTCTACGCCGGGACTGGCATATCCTCTCTCTTCTTTATTCAATTCTTTTTAACCCTGCAACTCCTTATTATCTCAAAGAAAAATTTGTATTTCTCGGTGAGGCACAAAATCATGGCTTACGCAGTGCAACAAACCTATGTCTTAAAACTCCTTCCCATACTTCCTCCTTCTACACCAATTCTTTCGCTGTGTACGCCGTGCGACTGTGGAACTCACTACCATCCTCCATACGTAGCGCTCAATCATTAGCTATTTTTAAAAATGCTGTAAAATCACACTATCTCTCTCATTAAATTGTCTTTCTACTATCCTTTCCTTTCTACTAAATTGTCTCTTTCTTATTTGCACATTGCTTAGTTACTGTGTATTATTACTAATTTACTTTTTTAATTCTATATTTATATTATGTATAATGTATGTATATTTATTTATGTTATGTGTATATATGTATATATATATATATGGATATATATATGACATATTACTATTATTATTCATGTCCATTCATTCTGTCTTGCGCCATCCACCACCTTCTGTCTTTTCTCCTCTACCCAAAGGTTGTCTGGAAGAAATCGCTTTAGCGATAAGACCGCC